GAGGGGACTCTGCCCTGCTGCCTTTTTTTTGGGGGGCAGCAGCCGGCTCCTCTTCCTTGAGGCCTCTGGAGGATGCTCGGGGATGAGCTGCCCTGCCACCCGCCAGCCCCTTCCGAGCAATGTAAGGCCAAAAAAATAAAGCTAACAGAGGCCTGTTTACTAATTAACCATGGACCCTGAGCCCCCCCACTCCCACAAGAGCTCCGTCCGGGTGGTGACCATGGCCCCCCCCGGCCGCACGCGCGTCGGGTACTTTGTTCCGCACCTGCTCAGAGGCTATATCATCGTTTAATTGTACTAAAACCAGCATAATGGACAAAAACATGCATAACGTCGGGGTTTTGTGGTTAACATGCACAAGCGCTGCACTGAGGAACAGGTACCGACGGGGAAGGGTGCAACACCGGAGGGGGTGCGTGCGTGTGTGTGTCCCCCCGGCACGTGTTGCAGCCGAACCCCAGCTATCCCTGGAGCTGCTCACACACGGCGGGGTGGGAGCTGCGGCTGATTGAAAAATGAAATATTCACACCTCGAGCTCCCTCGACGCCAGCACCAAGTCCAGCCGAAGCCTGCCCCCTGCCCCGAGGTCACAGGGTGGGGGGGATGCACGCGTCCAGCCCGGTTTGGGAGGTTGAAGGAGCTGCTGCCCATGGGCTGAAGCACAGGATGGCCCCAGCCCATCACCAGTGCTCATTCTCCTCCTTCGCCCAGCGGCGACGTCCCGCTTGCCAAGGAGGGCACCGAGAGCCAGCCAGGTCTTGTAGGGATGGATGTTCAAGGATTTTTCTGCTCCCAGTCAATCCTGGGGGATTGAGATGCCAGGCCAGCCCCCTCCCCATGGGTCCCTGTGGGTTTTCTTGGCATCCCAAGGGGAGCGGAGGCATGCTTGTGTGGGGCTGGGATCAGTGCAAGCAAGCCCAGGCCAGCGGGGAGGAGAGCGGTAGCCGCTACGAGCCTCCCTCCTCCTGCACGCACCAGCTTAACTTCTCTCCTAAAGAAAAAAAAGGAATTAAAAAGGCAATAAGGGCCGTGGTTTCTAGCCGCTGTTTTCTGCGCTGTGTAGGCACTGAGGCTGCAGGACATCATCCTTCTGGAGCCTCGGGCGAGGACGATGCTCTGCTCCCGTGCCCCAGTGAGCGGGTAACCCCTGCACCTGATTTCTTTTGCACCTCATTTGCATTTTTTTCCCCACATAGGTGGGTGTAAAAGCCGCCTGGGCAGAATAACCTTAACGCAGAGGGGAGGATGGTTGGCTGCAGAGAGGCTTCAGTGTGGGATGTCACCTGGAGCTCCCATTACACGCCTGCCTCCAGGGCGAGTGCTTTCGGATGGAGGATGCTGAGCAGGGACCATCACCGTCAGGGAAGCCACCCCAGCTGCTGCCTCCCCTAAAACTCATAGGCAGAGACAAAGACGGTGATTTTGGACACGTGCTTGGCCTGAAAGACGCGATCCAGGTACTCGGACATGTCCACATCCACTTGGATGGTCTGGGGACCCTTGAGGCTCTGCACCAGGATGAGCTCCCCGGTCTGCCGGTCCGAGCGCTGCATCACGAAGTGGCCACGGTTGTTGCCCCCCACAATGCCGAAGCGCAGGCTGTCGGGTCCCGGCCGGCCGGGCGCCGCTGCCGTAGAGCGGGGTGGGCGTCAGCAGGTTGGATGGCAGGGGAAGGTAGTGGAAGGAGATGGTTTTGGGTGCTTGGTGGCAAGACCGGCTCTCCATCGGGCAGGGGTTGCGCTCGCACTGGCTGCAGAGGGAAAAGCAGGGGGGAGGTTTTCAGGGAATCCTAGGGATGCAAGGTCCATGTCCCCCCCTCGGTGGCATTGGATCCATGGCATAGGCACATGTTTTTGGCACCCAGCACTCAAAAAAACTCAAAGCAGGGCTAGGTTTTGCACCCTGCCACACTTACAAGGGTGATGTTTTGACGTAGGTGACGTTGCCTGTGGTTTGAGGGCACTGGGGGCTGACGCACTGGAAGCCCCCCCCCGTGTTGATGCAGGTGGTCCCTCTCGTGCAGTTATCCTGGGACAGGGCGCACTCGTCGATGTCTGCAAAACAGGGGCAGGCAGCAGGTCGAGCTCACTGGAGACCTCAAAGCGACCCCATTGAGGGGTTCCTTTTGGCAAAATCCCGTTCTTCACCTGCTCTCGTCCCCCCGTCTCTGCCCTGGGCCAGCAAGCTTAATGGCAGCACTCCCACAGCAGGAGGGCAGCTTATTTTCCTAACTTGCTGCTAAGCTGTTTGAAAACACAATCTCTTTTATTTATTAAACACCTATGTAACCACTAAGATACCCGACAATAAAATCAAGAGCTTTCAATGCAGGTATTTGCTGGTAGCGTTAGCGAGATGCTATGAAACATGCAGACATCAGGGAGAAAAGGAGAAAGCATGAGTTTTCTCAACATGAACTGCAATAATCAACACTTTATAGCACAAAAAACACCCCTTTTTTTTTTCCGGAGGAGATTTTCACATGAGCAGTTTTGGCCACCCACCATCCCTACCTGCTGCTGCTTTGCTTTGCTCTGCTCTCAACCCGCACCTCAACTCCCCTCTTTTAAGAAAAGCTGCCCGCCTCCGAGCTGACCCCTCGCCGTCTAAACTCTTGCTTTTTAATGCTATTTGTGTTTCTTCTCAGGGATGCCCTGTTCACAGGGGACAGCTCCATTGTGGCAGTGGGGCTCCCATGCTCTTTTTCGGCGAGATGCAGCCCCAAAGCATCGCACGGATTTGCCACTGCTTGAACCTCCATCATTTTCCTCCCCTCCGCACCCAGCGTGGGAACCACCTCTCTGTGCAAACCCACTGAGATTTTTGCACGCAGAAATGCTTGCAAACAAGGAGGGGGGGTGCAATCCAGAAGAGTTCATCCAGAATTAAAAATTTCCTTGATAAACATATTCAAAGGCAATTCTTGTAACTGTCCTCCTAGCCAAGTCCCTTTTTCCTTCCTAAAGGAAATGCCAGTGAGGCTGGCCCAGTCTTGGCAAGGCCTTTCATTAACAACACTCATATTGTAACAGTGTATCACACTAGCAAAGTCTCTGAATAGTATTAATTAAAGATTTCTTGAGTATTTAGCCTAACTATGGCTTTCCGCCCTTAACGCTTCAGCTTCATCCTGGATTATCTAACACCACCATTGCATGAAATGGCCTCGTGTAGCTGTAAAGCTGCATCGGACAACTTCTTCAGCAAAGCAGACAGGCAATGGCTGCAAGAGGCATCTTCTTTTCCTGCTTTATATGTTTACTTTACTGGCATTAATGGACTTACAGAATCCCCAGAGAGGGCTCTTCATTGATGTATAACACGAAAGATAACGTCAGTTTTATTTTTGTGGCCTCTTTTGGATTTGGATCTTCTTCCTGCCAGTCTTCATAGATTATCTTCAGATGACTGATATGATCTTAGTTTGCTTTTAACTCATATATTTCCATGTGAGATCTACTTCCTACATACTAGGAAGCACTAACAGCAGAGAGGATTCCGTCTCCCTAAGGCAACATAGTGGTGCAACTGAGGACAGACACCTGTTCATTTGAAGGAGCTGTTTCTGACAGTCTACTGACTTACTGCTTGCCTTTACAGAATCATAGAATCCCAGAATGGTCAGGGTTGGAAGGAACCTCTGGCGATCATCTAGTCCAAACCCCTGCCAGCAGGGTCACCTACAGCAGGTTGCACAGGACAGCATCCAGGCGGGTTTTGAATATCTTCAGAGGGGGAGACTCCACCACCTCTCTGGGCAGCCTGTGCCAGTGCTCTGCCACCCTCAAAGGAAAGAAGTCCCTCCTCATGTTAAGATGGAACTTCCTATGTTCAAGTTTGTGCCCGTTACCTCTTTGCCCCAGTGCAAAGGTTTGCTACAAGGCAGGGAGCCATTGTAGCATGGATGCCTTTTCCCCTCATCTCTGCTGCTGAGCTCCAGGTCAGGCTCCAGCTGTAATTTCCAACTTTCCCTGAGGATGAGAAACCCCAAAGCACAGCCACGGGAGCTGTAGCATCCATGGGTTGTTGGCTGGGACTCAGGGATAGCTGCGACACCTCCCTATTTGGTGAACCCCAATAATCCCCCATGTTTAAATAAAGCCAAGTTGCATCCCACTGTTGTAAATGATGTCCGCGGGCAGACCTGGGCACGAAGCAGCCCCACGACCGTGGCTGTGGCGGCCCAGAGCAGTACCTGCGCAGCGGGGCTCCTGCCCGGTCCAGCTGCCGTTGGCCTGGCACGTCCGCGTGCTGGAGCCCAGGAGCTGGAAGCCCGGGTCGCAGGTGAAGTGAACCTCATGCTCCACCAAATACTTGGTGCCAAACTTCTTCCCGTCTGCAGGGGCTTGCAGGGCAGGGCAGGAGGCTGCAAGAGCATCATGGGGAGGGGGTTAGTGTTCAAGTGGGTGCTTTGGGGGTGTACCACCTTATCCTTCCTGTCCCCAACTCTACCTGGGCCACGGTTCACCCAGTTCCTCCAACACCTCCTCTTTAACTGTCATTTTCCTTGAATATTGGTCTGCTGAGGTTAATCAGTAACATCCAGCCCCACAGTGAAAGCCCAGCAGGAACGCTGAACATCACTGCCAAGGGGTTTGGTGGCATTCTTGCCACCCCTCTCGTGCTCCTAGCTCAGGAGATATGGTTTTCCAGCCCTCTCGCCCCCAGCAGTTTGCCAGGAGCTCTCTGCTTTGCAGCTAAGGGCTTTTGAGCTTCCCTGTGTTTCACCAGGATGGAGAAGCGCTCAAATTCACTGGCACAAATTGCCAACACAGGAACAGGTATCTCCATCTGTGAAGATGCCCAAACCTCCACCCGTCACAGCCTTTAGCATCCCGACTTGCCCACCCTACCATCCTCCAAGGCCATAAAAGCAACCACTGGGACCCAGGACGGACTCACCAGCCGGCGGCTCGGGGGTGGCTTTGGCCAGGGAGGCGTGCAGGGTGCTCAGCCGGCTCTTCATCATGCGGAGGCCCTCGGCGAAGCGCGTCTCCTGCCCCTTCAGCAGCTGCTGCATCTGCCGGATGGCGGCCAGGAGCTGCTGCCTGCTGAGGCAGCTCTGCGGGGACGGGGTGGCTGCTCAGCGGGGGGACATCGCTCGGGCCCCATACTGCCACACCAGCCAAGACCCAACCTGCTGCACACAGCCTGCCCCAGCCACGGGGGGATGCTCGTGCAGGAGCGTTGCAGCATCAAAGGTCCCCATGGATATCTGATTTTATTTTTTTCCCCCATTTGCCCAGATGCAAGACTTTTTTCAGCCTCTGCTAGAAGTCCTTAGCTCAGGCATGCTCTCCTACATCTAAATGGGTAACACAGCACTACAAGCAGGGCTGTAATCACTTTGTTAGCCCTGGGAGAGATGCCATAACTCATGTTTCATCCTGCTGGAGCTAGAGCCCTGTCCCACTTCCACATTACAAAATAAGAGGAAAACATCTGTCTTGTGAGTTCTGCTGGGGCCAGGAACACTGGTGGGACTCCTGCCTGCAAACCGATCGCTACCACGGGACTGACTCATGCAGGAGATGGGCATCGTTATTATAGGTTTCCTGCGGAATTGACTTGAAACCGAAGAAAAAGAGCAAGGGCTAAGCAAAGCCAAGCCAATCCAACTTTAGAGCTCAGAGGTTCACAGAGTGCATGGAGGAGAGAGCACATAGGGTCTGGTCTGGGTGGCACGAGGCTGGGGGCAAAGGAGCTCCGGGAAAGGAGCAGAGCTGCTGGGTTCCAGCCCACCTGGCCCGAGGGATTTCTTCCTCCTCCACACTGTGCAGTGGTGAAGTTATTCTCCTTTCCAAATAGCTACTGAGAGTTTACAAAGAAGAAATAAAAGCCAGCCCAAGTGGCGTGCTGTCCTCTGCTTCCCTTGGTGCGGTTTCGGGGGGTTGTGGGATGCCGGCGAGGATGAGCTGATCTGTGCCTGGAGCTCTGGGGTGCCCCACGCCGAGAGGGAGGGAGGCAAAAGCAAATAGATGCCTGGCATGTAGCTCGCTTTAATAAACAGCTCTTTGTTAGGGCTGGGTTTAACTTCAAGAGCCAGCATGATCTCCCCGCGGGAGCTGAACCGTAGTAAACCCCCGCTCTCCCATAAAACCGGGAGGGTTCTTCGCCCCCGGTGTGCTCGGTAGTGTCTTCAGGTGTCGGGTAAGAAGGAAAAACACAGCCCAAAAGAAACTGGGCCCGATTTAAGCCCTGTTTGAGCTCTCTCTCCCCGCCCCGGTCTTTGCCCACCTGTTTGCTGGGGCCGGGGCAGGAGCGCGGTCTGCACAGCCGGGCTAAGGGCGGGCAGAGCCACCGCGCACCGGCACGGCGGAGAGGGGAGGAGGGGGAAGAGGAGAGGGGACCTTTCCCCCCTCCCGGAAAGCCTTCCCGAGCCCCCCACCCCCGGATCCCC